TGGGTGGCTTCTTTCGTGCGCACAGTTCTATAGAATATTAAAGTCTACATTATTTTTTCATAGAGCATTCTATTCGAAGAACGATAAGACTTTATAACGTACTTAAATTACTAAATAAAATATTATTTAATATTATTTATACAATGAATACACTTGTAATTTAATACTTACAATGCAACTAGGTAAGAAAAATGCTATTATTTACAATATTTATGACCAAATTTAATTTTACAGATGCTATGGATATTGCTGAGATTTCTTTAATTACTTTTACATTGTTCCTTTTATGATTACGTGTTTCATTAAATTTTAAATCTATTTCAAAATTGAAATATGTACTTCAATTATTACAATAAGCATTTTTATATTCATAATTATTGTTGTAATATACATCGTTTATTTTATTAAAAAAACACCTAACCTTATACTTAAAATTTTGGCTTAAAAAAGTGGTACAGATGGCGACAAGGAGTTATAAAATTTAACTTTGTTGGCAAGAACTTTTAAAGCAAAAGCAGCAGTTGGACTCGTAAAAGTACAACCTAGAAATTTTATGCATAAATTTACAAAACAGCTATATTATAATATCCAATAAAAGAATATAAGAAATTTGTTTTAAAGCAAATAACTTAACTTATTAGTTCATGACAAGGTTAATATAAAACAGAAAACTATGTTTATTTAATTCATAAACTGATGGTCATTACTTTATTATGAGTAATACTGTTTAAAGGTTACGATTCGATTGTATATTTTGTATATATGTAATAATTAATAATTCTATATTGCTTTCTATCAACCTACAATCTGCAGAACGCCATTCGTCCACCTTTAGGCACCACCGGTCCAATATCTTCTTTAACGGTATTAGTTTTTGAAAACATTTTGATGTCAACTCTTGTGAAATACTGAATATTTCACCAGTCTTTGCATACCTTTTCGATCCGCAATACTTAACTTAAGAAAACCTGCTCTATATACAATAGAATTCAAAAACCTATATATATTTTACACTGATGTTAACAATATTTTTAGCTATGTTATATATAGTTTAGTGCGAACTTTTCCTGTACAAAAGAAGTCTCATAAAACTCAAAAATTATCGCACGTTTTAAAAACATTAAATTTTATTATTATTATTATAATTATCATTATTATTCAAATCATCATTATAATTATAATTATCATTATTATTCAATGTATCTTTTAAAATTCAGCGATAAACAGAACAATTTTTTTCGTTCTAATGAAAAAATCATTCATTTTTATTGAAGTGAAAAAATTTCTACATGAATATTAGACATATTCTAGAATGCTAATTAAAATTTCACATAACTAATTCTAATAAATTGAAAACAATATTTAAAAGTAATTCAATATTAAGAGATTAAGTATGTCTACTTAAATTTCGCTACGTTCGATTTAAAAACTGCCTTGATGTCATAGGCAAATCACGGTTAGTCATAAGACTAGATATTGTATTGGCTTAGCTCTTTAACTGAGATGGCGTTCTCTTCTTCTTTTCTAAACTTCTCTTATATTTTAATTTTATTACCGAAAATACATTATTAAAATTTGAACAATAATTTTATATCAAACAGCTGCTGCAGTTTGACGTAATGATGCGATTTATCTTAAAAACTAAGATGCTGTTTTTTTTTTCGTAAGTCCGTACAGGTTTGCAGAATAAAACTTAGCGCATCTAATACTGTTAATTTATTTAAATGAACATTTATTTATTCCTTTAAATAACATCAATTCATTTATGTCATAATTGTAGTAAACCAATGAATAAATTAAATTTTACAAATATGACTAAAAAATTTCAAATGAATACTACAATTCAAAATCCACTTTTTTTCCATTATCCCCTAATATTAAATTTTTAATACAATTTTATCAACTGGACTGCCTCTGTGATTCATTTTTAAGTTATGTACTGAGATAATAAAATAAAAATATTTTATAACTTTAAAATTATAATGGTAAAAGAAAGGGCAAAATTAAATTTCAATTAACTTTATTCATTAAGTTTTAATTTTGAGATTTTATAAATGAATTTTATAATTTATTACAAGAAGTACTTTCAATAAAAGATGGAAAGACTCAACGATTTGCAGGCATCTGTATGCAATCTGACCACTTTTCACTTAAAAGAAATCTAATATTTTCATTGAAATGCCTCGTAGAGATATTAGTCTTATGGTAGGTTTACTTACAGGTCACTGCAGATTAGGGAACCATGCTAGAAGATTATAACTCCCTTTCAATCATACCTGTCGCAGCTATGGGGAAGACGATGGAAGTGCCTCTCCATACTCTGTCTTTTCCCAGCTTATTATAGATCATAGAACTTAAAAAAATATTTAACTTCGTATCCTTAGAAAAATCTTAGGAAAGTCCATAATTCCTATTTGTGCTATATGTAATAACTTCAATATTTTTTTCTCATAATTATCAAAATAATTTATCTTTTAACAATTTCAAGAAATGTTTATATATTTCGTATTATTAGCTATCAAATCTTTAGATTTAAAATGTCTAAATATTTATTCACTAAAATGTTTAATGAAGTATTAGGAATAGCAGAAAAAGATACTGCAAAAATTTGGGAACAATAATAATATAAATACACATTTTATTTATTAGCTTTATTCAAAACGTTACGAAGTTTCTTCCAAGAAAACACGAAGGATAGCCAATTGCCAATAGGTATTTACATCCATAGTTGTTTTCATCGTTTTATTCATTTTCCGGAGGATTATATTTAATTATTATGACTCAGATTTTGAAAGAAAATTATGTGAACCTTTTTAAAGTATATGAGACAAAACATTAGGACGTACACAATAAGGTACTATAATGAGTTATAATAATTGATGAACGGAGATGCCATAGTTAAATTAAATTTGTAAAACATCAAAGATTGAAATATCTTAATTGGAAGAACGCCGGAACACTCAAATTAATTCATATTAACTCAAATTTTTAACATTATTTAACGGGAAAGAAGGGAAAAGAGCAAATTAAAATTTCATAAATTTGAATTTTATTCTTTATTAAAGAAATTTATAATATCAACTGTAAATACTCATGTAACTTTTATATTCAATATTATTAAACGGAAATGACACGCTGACGCCTATGTGCTCTATCGGGATATCTTTGGAAATAGTCTCCTAAGCTAGACTAGATCCTTAAAGGCTATTAGTAAAGTGAAGAATATTTCTCATACCAGTTCACATCTGGTTCAATATATCGAATTATGCATTGACAATTTGCGGATCATGAGCAGATAAGATGGGCTAAAATTTTACTTATTATTATTTACAATAATATACAGTCAAACTACCGAGTTCCATAACTTGAACTTCTATAACCGAATTTTCTTTAACTCGAACTAAATAGAGTGCAACAGGGTTTAGAGAGCGTAATTGTAGAGAGTATACAATTACAAAAAAATTCTTTAACTCGAAGTCTCCATAAGTCGAACGTGTTCTTTGCAAAATGGTACTTCGAGTTATGAAAATTTCACTGTAGTTATTTTTATATTCTAATTTTTTCATTTACTTCAAAATATATGTTTGGTTTTCTTTAAATATGTGTTTGGTTTTCTAATGTAAATATTTATAAAAAAGAGGTTTTTAGTGTTGGATTAGGTTATACCGGCGATCATTGTATTACAAATATTTTTAGTGTTTATATAGTTTTTTCTACATAAAATTGGTAACATTTAATAGTTTTTTGACCTCTACATTAGAGCGGAAATTTTTTATATATGAAATTTTTTTTAAAATTCATATAAGCCCTTCAAAACGAACACATTATTAACAAAAAATGAACTCAACACAATTAAGTTATAAAAATTGAAAACTCTTGCCATTAACTAATTTTTCAATAGCAGATAAAACAATTTTCCAAAAGCACTTATAACTAAAAAACGAAATAATGTTTTATATTATGTATTATGAAATTAAATTTATATTAAATTAATATGAATACTATAATTGTTTATGTTTTTTCCTAGTTAGTATCACCACTATTAATAAACTATTAATAAGAGCATAGGGCAGAATAATTTAATTTTACTGGTAAAAAACTAATTTAAAACTTAATAATTTTAAAAACAAGTAATTTATTTATATTTAATAAATATGATGGAAAAAATGTAAAAAGCAAAATTGTTTTGTAAAAAGCACGATAAATACATTTTAAATAGAAACATTTTATTGGACTTGAACTGTTTGATTAAACTGAAATAAAATTAGATGAACACTAATTAAATTTAATACGATTAAGTAAACAGTAATGATTAAGCACACTTCAAACGAATTTATAGCACAGTTTAAATATAACTAAACCAAAAAATTGGTCCTTCAGATTTATTAATTCTAAACACATTGTAAAAAGGATTAAGGTTTAACGTCGTGGTAGTATTGACAAAACAAATTACTATTTCCTTTGGTTTAATAAAGATAAAATAAAACTGCAAAACTAACCTTGAACTTTTTTCCCAACTATAAATGAAGTCAAAAAAGTTTTCTTACGATCGTACTAAGCTGTTTACATACCAAACTATCATATATACAGGAATATATGTATATATACTATATATGCAAAATTTTTTGCAAGTTTGTCTACAGAAGCTTCTCTAGCCGAACTTTTGAATGTTAAAAATACTAAAGTATATATACAAGGCAGAAAAGTTTGCATGACAAAATCCATAAACATCAAAATTAAATAAATATGAAAAAAGTAATTATTTAAAAAACAAAAATCAGTAATACTAATATATATCAGTCAAATCAAATAATTATAGTATGTAAATATACATATGTACGTATATATAATAAAGTCATAAATATGTATGAATTTGCGCTCACGAACTTTATTTTATACAAACAAAGCCAATTTAATTCATTTCGAATGATAATAAAAAACAATGTACTATAATCAATCGGTGCGGTAATAAAATCAATTAAAATAAAGAGTTTGCTTACCTGGCTCCTACGATAATTGCCTGACGCCCATCTGTAACCAAATCATCGGTGTCCTGTGCACCGTTTGAGCCGCCTGAAATGCCAATATAACGTTTCACTGACTCAAATACTGATTGTGGTCCAGTCGGCTCTGTGGTCGACTGGTAAATGGCTGCATCATGGCCATTTGTAGTGGCATTATCCAGTAAATTATAACCGCCCTCTGACTGTGGCATGTGGACGTTGTTTCTTATTTCTCAACTAATAATGATGAATATATGGTATATATGTGTGTACCACAATTTGTACTTATCCTGACAATTTGAGTGGGTTGTGCTCTGCACTTCCTTAAGAACTTTCGAGATATCTTTTCTTTTTCTTTTACTTTTTCTTTGTGTGTTTGTTCTTTTAGTTCTTTAATTATTTTTTTTTTAATTTATTCAAATCGTGGTTAATGCATTCAACATTTCATACAAATGTGCAATTGTTGATAATTGTGTAGATACAATAATTTGGTGTTGTTCAAAAATGCAATAATGATGTGATATTTTGATTTTTTTTTTTTTGGTTTTGGTTTTTGATTAATTAATTATTTATGTAAATTAAAATTACAGGCAATATGCAGTATGCAAAATGCAGGCAAACCAGTCGACAGGCAGTGTACGAGTATTCATTCATTTATTTTATAAAAATTTTTAAATTGTATCAGTCATTGTTTTATATGCAAAATTGTTTTTTGAAGAGCGTCAGCGCAAACAACAATTTCAAAAAGTATTTGAATTTAAATTTGAATGAACCCAAAAGAGAAAAATAAAAATAAAATAAATAAAATTAAATTATACATATAAATATACAAGACATACACATACATATACACAAAAAAAAATACACTTTTTGCGTATAAATGATTAAGTGACAAAAAAAATTAATTATGGAAAATGATATGATATTATGCAAGCTACAAAGACATATTAAGAGACATACTTATAGGTTATGAATTATTAGATTAAGGATTTAATTCTTATGAACGGTTGTAAATATGATTCAGTGATAGTAATTTTTAATGAGAAAAAATGTAACAAAATTAGACAATGAAACACTAAGTTTCCCGTTTTGATTTTGCAATGATGTTAATTTTAGACAGCTGAGCTTAAATCTATAACCCGTTTTTCTTCAAGACACCTGAGGTCCGTGGCACTAAATGGGTAAAAAGTTGATTTTTTAAAGGGTTAATATAAAAGAATTACGATTTTAAGAGATACGAATTTTGTATCTTCAATAAACTTGATACGAATAAAGATATTGATTTTAAGAGAAATCCCTTTTTGTAAGCGAAAGAAGGATGTTGCAAGATTGACATTTAATTAAGATGTATAAGCAAGTGTACTGAGCACTCAAAATTCATATAACTCTTAAAATAAGAATATTTTATTAACTCTTCAGGTCTACAATTTTCAAGCCTTTACCAATTTATACCGTAGTGCTAAATGTGTAGGAGAAAAACTGGTTCGATCTCAGCAGACCAAAATTTACACAGTTGAAAAGGAGATACTACTTCACTTTTGTCGTATTATGTTTCAAAAACAGACAAGAATTTGACAGCTATTGCGGATTTACACAGCAATATGAGAATTTATTAACTCTTGATGTCATTTTCTAAAACTAAAGGCTATTTAAACGCCATATATCATTCAAACATCATTCGCGCCACACTTGATCACTCACTCAGTGTAGTTTTCCAGATCTTTCTAGTCAAAGGGACTATAAAACAATTCAATCCAACATAATTTCTTGGGTAATTAATCACCTTGTTTAGTTAAAACATAATTTCCTGTCACCTTGTATAGTTAAAATTTTAGGAATGATAACAATACTTTTCGTGACAGAAATTTTAATTCTTAATATATTATCTATAAAATTCATAGTACAAATGTTTAAGCTCATTTGGAGATAGGACATAGACACTCCCGTTATAAATCAGTGTAACACACAAAAAGGAGCCAATGCCCCTTTAGCTGTATAATTTAAATCTATATGATTGCAAATCGAAATAATAATTGATATACTTTTATATGACAATATTAATATATTATACAATAAAGGATATTACTCAGATTTCAGCAGCAAGAAATTTACTATACATTTATTTGCAATTTGTGTTATTATAACAACTTTGCAATGTTACTATATTACTATATTGTTATAGAGCTCACTACTCGTCATCGTAAATACCACTAGTGTTCTTTCTATAACTTCGTATTCTATATAAGTAAGTATAAGTATAAGTAACTGCTATCTGCCATTATCGTAGCCATAATTACTCTAATAGATATTACACGGAACTTGGACAGAACCTTAGGTGGGTCATAACAAACAAGTTTCAGAAATATTAAAATAACATTAAACTGACATCTATTAAAATTATTACAATTATTGATAGAAATCACTTAAAAAAAACACATGTGATAAGTTCTAAATTACCTGTATGAATATTAAAGTAAGTTGTACTGTTACATACTTTTTGTATCTTTAGTAGAACTCATGTAGATAATTTTAGTGCATTTTTTTTTAAAAATAAAAAGCGCCTTAGAATTTTATTAGGTTGCAGTGAGTGTAATTTCTAATAATATTAATTTTTTATTAAATTAATACTAAAGATATTTTTAAATTCTAATAATAATTAGGTTAAACCATAAACCAATTTGACACCCAATATAAACAACGCTTTCAAATCTTAATAATAATTGGGTAAAATATTAAACAGATTTAAATTCGAATCTAAACATCGCTCATATAAAAATATATAATTTTCAAAATTTTATAAATAAAGAAAGAAATTTAATCATAAATTAATATTTAATTTACATTAATATATTATATAATATGTATTATATTATATATTAATATATATAATAATATTTTGGTATATTTATTCAATTCTCATTGAAGTATTAGTGTTTTTGTTTTTAATTAATAATTAATTTTAATTGTGAGAAAAAAATTAAAATTTTTGTTGTTTAAATAAACAAAATAAACAAACTTTCTGTATATAGAAAAATAAAAACGCAATAACTTTTCAACCGGACTAATAGATTAATCTGATATGTTTTAGTAATTAAATATTTTATGACATCATTAAATCAAAAAGCTGCTATATATTTAGTAATCACAATGACAAATGAAAAATGTAGAGTATTTGTAATATTATAAAAATTCTTATATACTGGATATAACACAGTTTGTCAAAAGGTTTGAACTGAAACAGGTAGGCAACATATAATTTTTTCCACGTTACTTCTTCAGAGAGTATAAGAGTTCAACGTGATATTTTTAGTGAAGTCATTAGAATGTTAATAGCTGCCGTAACAGTGTATTTTGTAAAATTTGCCGGAAATCACTACACAACTTCAATTTCAGAGCTAAATTGATCTGCAACATAGAGATCTACTGAACTACTTTGAAAGGATTCAGAGTATTTCCCCGATTTCTTTATCTCAATAACGACATCCGAGAATAGAAGAACGAAAAACGACTCAAGTAGTTTCGTGGTCTACTTCGACTAATCCTTCATTTCAGTGGGGCCACTTGTTGGACGGTGCGCTGTCCCAACGTCGCACCACATATAATAATATACCTCAATGCAGGGCAAGCACCCACACCTGCTTTGAGATTCATACATTGAAAGACTCTTGAAATAATTGAAATAACTATTATATAGAAGTTAAAACAGATAATAATTTGGTTGCGTTTTTTTTTCACATTTTAAAGATTTGCATATACTAAATCGTTTTACGAAGTTAAAGACTTGAACATTAATTTTTGCACTTTGATTATTAAATAATTTATGTTCAAATTTATATTATTAAATAATTATAATCTATTTAAAAAAAGTCAAACAAAGGAGTTTATTTTTCCAATAAAATTTCGTTTCTTTATATTCATATCTCGAATTTATTGAACACAACATTTCTCTTTATCTTATAGATCTTGGTTAATGCTACAAACGTAGGCGTAGCCAGTAAATAAGTCAGGGAGGGGCTACATTTAAAGAAATCTACTTGGAATAAACTAACAAGCACCCAGAAAAGGTTATTGCATTTAAACAATTAACATCTATTGTTATCTTATTGCTATCAAATCGAGAATCTATTTCAATTGCTGCACAAAGCTGCCTGCAATATAAAGACCTATACCTTCGGCAGCGATATAACACTTTTAGGGGGAATGGGGTAAAATACCATCCGACAACTTATCATCACGAAATTTTAATTTTATTATATTTTTAAAAATTGGCCACCGCCTCATATGCTCCCATTGACTACGCATATGACTGTCTAGTAATTAAAATTTGAAATCTGTATAGAATTTTTATCTCTTTGTAATGTGTTTACTACGAAATTAATTAAAAAATGAAATTATTATTTCATTGAAAATAAAAGTTATTTGAAAATACCCTTATTGAAAGTATAAAAACTGATTATAGATATTTGTTTATTATATATCTACTGAAATTATAAATATTTCCATTCTACTTACTATAAACAGCAGTCACATTTACATATTCCTTTACATTTTCAAGAATAATTCATTTAGTTTAAATAGAATAAATTTTCATATTTAATGATAAGAAAATAATTCATATCTAAAAGTAAATAAAAATGTTTTTCTTTTATTTACAAAAGATAACAATTTGCAAGATACAACAAAAATAGTGTCTATCACTGTCTTTCGAAAAGACACCAATGAATTAAATTGTACAGTTTTTCATTTATATAAATTTATACAAATTGATTTTTAACAATGATTTCAATTCATATAAAATTAACATTAATTTCTAAATAGATGAAATTCTTTTTTATAATAAAAAGCATTTTTTAAATTGCATTCGCTCGTATAATTACAAATTGCCATTATCAATTATTTCAGATTGCTTTGAGCAATTTCACTGTCATTTCAGGGCCAAGCAATAATAAATAATCAAATATACAATTATAAAATATTGAGTTGCTAATTTTAATAATTTGAAAATTTTAAACCTCCAAACATCATTTCAAATGAACTCGTACAAAAATTATATAAATGTGCATCAAAAAAAAAAAAAAAGGTATATATGTATATATAAAAAAGTCATTTAAAGATAACTGAGGCGTTGTTCGTTCGCAATTTGTTATCTTATTTAGATACATATTTCACATTATTTGCGTAAGTAGAAAATTAAAGTAAACTTTGTTGAAATTCATTTCAAGTCACATTTGTTATTAAAAAATATTAAACAAAAAATAATACTTTATTACATTATTAAAAATACTACAAAGTACTAAGTAATTTTTGAATGTAAAAACGCAGTTCTAAACTCAAAATTGGCTAACGAAAATGTTAGAGAAATAGAATATGGAACTATGTACGAGTAAATG